CGGGCCCCGGTGCTGCCAGGGCAGGTTTTCCATCGGCTCCATGTGCTCCGGGTGATGCTCACACAGCTCGGCTCCTGGCAGAGCAGAGCAGGCTGGGTCCTGCCCGCCTCATGCAGCAGCAAAGGCGTTTCCAGCTTTCGCTCGGACTTTCTGCCCTGGGCAAAACAAGGTGCCTGACAGAGAGCGGTTTGTGCCAAGGGCATCCCACGGGAGCCCGCTGCTCCTCGGATTACAAAGGATAGCAAAGGCTGAGCAAAAACTCTCGAACAGGTTGGACATGTAATTACAGACCCAGAGCCTGCTCCAGCCCAGGGCTGGCTCCTTACCCAGGGACAGAATTTTGTTTGAGAATCCATCCCTTTGTCTCCAGGAAACACAACACAAGCACAGGCCCCTTCCTTTCCCCAGCCAGGAGCCACTCCAGACTTTCTGCACGTACAACCCTGAACCTCAAGGCTGAATATTTGGGGTGTGCACAGACAAAAATGACCCTTGCTCAGCTCCCCCCCACAATGGGCAAGATCCCACTGGGATGGGGAGAAGATGATCCCAAGGAGCTCAAAACACAGCACACAAATATCTTTGCAGCACATCTTGGGTTTTAACAACCTCTTGCTTAACTAGCCTGATTTCCCCAGGGCTGTGGGTGACAAGAAATGTGCTGTGCAGGTCAGCACTGCTCCCAGTCCCCACCCTGCTCGCAGGAGTTTGGGTATTTTCTCATGCCATAAGCAAAATGCTCTGCCCCAAGCTCTGAGGCTTTTCTGCACATGGTGGTTTGAGAACTCCCAACTCTCACTGTTGCTGCAGAGAAAAACCAGCAGAGCCAGAAATTGCCTAATGGCAGCAGCAGGATTTCCTGGGCTGGGGTGCATTTCAGGAGGATGAGGAAAAGCCCTGTAATGGGCCATCACCCCTGCGGCACGGCTGGCTTTGCTGGCAGATCTTTAGCACGGAAATATTGATCTCGCCCCCATAAAGGCTATTTGTAAATGGTCTTTTGCAAATGCTTTTTATTGCAGGGAGAAGTGCCCGGGGGCATCCAGAGCTGTGGCAGAACAAGGCCCACCCACACGGCACCAAATGCCACGGCAAAGGCAGGAATGGAGGCCCAGCTATTTTTGCAGAGAAGGAAATCTGTTACAAACACGTCCTCACAGAGAAAGCCTCGTCTTTTCTCCCACAAATCCCTGAAATTACAGCCTGCCTGTGGGTACCAGTGTGAAGGCACCCTGTAAATTAACCCACCCTTAACTGCAGTGCTGCACAATCCCTGGAGTGCTGCAGCACAGCACACACAGGGGCAGAGCCAAGCAAAGATAAACCCAGAGATCCAACAGATTCCAGCTGCTGGCAGAGCTCTGCTGAACCAGCCACCACCAGAGAACATTTCTCTCCACAGTCACCCAGGAGCAGACACAGCAGAAGGTGTGGAAATGCCTGGGCAGGTTATCAGGGCAGGAATCACTGACACCAAGCCTGTGTGTGTGCATTTCTGGGAGTCCTCCTAAAGCATCATTAATAAAATGCTCAGCCAAATGCTGCCGTGGCCCTGTCATAGACAATGGGACCTGGAACAGCCAGAAACTTCCCGTGTGCAGCCCCAGCTGGCTGGAGTTGGAATGAGCAGCAGTTTGAGGCAGGGAAAAGGCAAGAGAAATCACTGCAATTCTTCTGTTTTATTAGCAAATGGACATATCTGGACAGCTAAAGGAAATCAGACCTTTCCAACATCAACTCAAATGTTGTTGTCAACTTCTTGCACTGCTCCCACACATCTCTGTCCTTCATACAGACAGAACCTTTGGGTAAACAAAGAGCACAGAAACACACAAAAATTACAATATATACACATTTTCCCTCCACTTCAATGGCCTTGGGTTTTTGGACATTAGCAACACTTTGTTCGTTTGACTTTGCAAATAATACCAAAACACCTCGAGTTTTAAAATAAAAAAAATACTACAATATTCACAATATAAAACTTAAATACTTTTTTTTTTTTTTAAATTAAGGTACTGCTAGGATCTATTGAGTGATCACAGCTCTTCCAACAGAAGCTCTGCTGCTGAAGCACTGGAAGTTAAGGTTCACAAAGCAACATCCATTTCATTCTGCACTACTCCTGGTCAGAATTCAGATCTTGCCATGCTCATGACAGTGCCACTGGAGATTTGTCCAGGTGTGGACATGTCTAAAAGGTACATGACACTTCCTTTCCTCTGCTATTCCTGCCCTGTTCATGTATTCCTGTGTTTTATTGGACAGTCACCGGATAAAGTGACTGCAGAGGAGCAGCTCATGGTCAGTGCCCTCCCTGCAGGAGTTACAGAAACAGGGCAGAAAAAGCAGCAAGAAACAAGGAGAAATTCAACCCACCCTTCCCCAATCTCATCCAGGACAAAAAAACATCATTAAGTGTGCTTGAAAGGCAAGGGAATCAAATTTTACCTGTGAAATCTGGATTCTGTGATGGAATCCAGGTTTGGTTATTTCATTTTCACTTCACCTTTCAGAGGAAACAGAAACTGGGACAAACAACAGCTAGAGGATTTATCTCTTTGGTAACATCTGTGAAAGTCTCTCAGCACTGCCTCAGTTTCACAGGAATCATAACACCTGGCAGGATCCTGTAGAAGTTTTGTAGTGGGAGAAGAACTTGCCCCAAATTCAAGAGGGCCTCTGTGAGGGTGGGGAAGACTGCAGAGGAGCTGGATCCCTCAGAGTCCTGCTGCAGCCACACTGCAGTGCCTCAGTGAGGGCAGACCCCAGACAGACAAACTGAACAAACCACATCTCAGTACAGACAGGAGGCTGGAGTGCATTTTAGGGCATTTCCTTAAGGCAGAAGTGGGTGAACACTGGCTGAGGGGACAGGCAGAGCTGGCAAACCCAAGTTGGACTGAGTGGCTGTAACATTGCTTTCACAGTCGAGTGGCTCCATGGGTGAGTTTAAAGAGGATTTGGATCCCATCACTCCTGGTCACACTCAGCTGCAGCCTCTCTGTGACAGAAAACTGTCTGTAGTGTAAAATGTCAGTGCATCTGCTTGGCTCCTTACAACTAAAGTTTCACTTTCAAAGTTGGCTTCCACCTCTCCCCTCACACTGCAAGATTCAACTGATAGAGCAGGGGCTGAAGAGGCAGCAGAGACCTCACTGTGCCAGCTGAGGACATGGGCTCCTCCTCGCTTTTGAGCAAGAACAGCCACATCTGTAGTGTCATATTTCATATTTTACCATTCTTCTCTGGAGAAACAGCAAACCCTGGTGACCTGCTCAGCACAACAATGGATAGGAAGTCCTGTTTATCTCTGAAACTTCCAAAACCATGGTAATGATACAAGACACTGAACAAGAGGTCTGCCCATGAGCTAAAGCTGCCAGAAGTGCTGTTTCAGGGCTGAAATCTCCATAACCTACTGCACAGAGGCAGAAAACCACACTCCAAAAAGGACCTGCTACAGACTCACACCACAGCTGCCACTAAAAAAGGTTGCATGGAGCAGGTTAGAAATGTGCAAATTACTTAAATTTCTGGGCTGCCAACCCACTAACTGCAATCTCCCTAGGTGAAAGACTGGCAGTATTAAAGGCTGTAACAATCTTGAAGTCCACCACTAAAGGGTTTTTCAGCTAAAGCCTCTGAAGGAATGGGAGAAGAATAAATTTTCTTCCAAACCAGGGATGGCATTCGCTCTAAAAGTAAAGCACTTTTGGAAGTGCATTTGTCAGGTTATGGAACCAATTCCAGACAGTAAAAGGAAAGGAATGAACAAATCAGTAAGAAACAAGCTGAAAACCAACCATTCCTGGTTTTGTGGCTTAACTGTTCTTCTGTCATTTGACTGCTTGCTACTCTGCAAAGGGTTAAATTCTGATCCTCCTCAGTGACTGCATCCTTTCAGCTGAGATAAATGAACTCCCAGGCAATAGGGCCAGTGGGAAATACATATGTGCTGTGACAACAACATGCCTCCAACCAGGAGGACAGCTCGAGGTCAGCTTTCACTTCCTCAGCCTTCTGCTTTTCTTGCTTTCTTGTCACTGCTGCTAAAATTGGTTCAAGGGCACTTGAGACTTTGGAGCAAGAAAGGTTTTTCTCCTTGCATCAAAACCCAAAAGGTTTCATATTTACTAGGATCATTGAAAGTAGAATCAGAATGAGGACTGGAAGTTGGTGTAATGTGAGGATCTCTGCCGGAGAGCTGAGAAAACAGAACAGTCCAGATTTCCTGCTTAAGGGCACAGCTCCATTTTGCCAGCAGCTGCAACAAAGAGCACATAGTTTATCATGCTTGAAAGCTGCACAAATACCCACCAGGGAAGAGAAATTACTCTCCTCTAAAACATACATTTGGGTTGGAGATTAAGAGATGTGAGGACAGTTTTCTGGCTCCACCACAAATCACCGTTCCCTGTTTTACCTTTGGGAACAAAGAGTCAAGCTGGAATTTTACCTGGAGAAGGAATATTAACATTAGTCTGACCTAACAACTGAATTCTTTTTAAACCCTCATCTCTATTCAACTCTAGTACAACAGAGATTCCATGAGTTCCTGATTGTTGTCCTGAAGCAACATAAGAAAAAGCTGCCCCTAAATGTTATTTCAAGTGATCATCTTCACCCCATCCAAGGGGTGTGGGGACAAGGGAAGACATCAAATCCAAGTGATAAGAATACTCATCCCTCTGGACTTTTCCCAGTGCTTTGCACATGAAAAGCCTCACCACATCCCTGTGAGGTAGGTCAGTATTATTAACAGTCCCTTAACACAGCTGTGGAAAGTGATGCAGAGAAGTTCCTTTCCTGGAGGCCACTGCAGGAGATGGAACAGGGAGACAAGAAGAGAATTTCCCTTTCTCTCCTCATCTCCCCTCTTCCCCATACAAACCATGGAGAAATAAGCAGAGAAGGAGGCTACAGTGCCCCAAATTTCTGACCAAACAGCAGGAGCCCACAGCTCCAAGGAGGATCATTAAATACACAAGTACCTCAGAAGGAACGGCGGCGACCCCGAAGCCACCCCACGACACAAACCCAGCTCAATAAATAAGTAAAACACAAACAGCTGGCACTGTCCCCAGCCCAGCAAGGTGCCAGGTGGAGCAGCTGGAGCCCCGTCACTCCTGTGCCTCCACGGCCACGCCGACCAGCGCGTGGCGGATGGTGCGGCCGTGCAGTTTGTAGCCGTCCTGCGTGACCAGCGCCACGGTGCCCGGCTGCACGCCCTCGGCTGGCACGTGGCAGACGATCTCGTGGTCGTAGGGGTCGTACCTGCCCCCCACGGGGTTCATCTTCTGCAGGCCGTGCTTGGCGAAGACGCTCTGCAGCTTGGCCTCGAGGAGGGACAGCCCCTCGTAGATTTTCTGCAGGGCGGGGTTGGGGTCGCTGGGCTCCTCGGCGTGGCCCGCGGCGCTCTCGGCCGTCTTCTCCAGGATGTCTGCCACCTCCACCAGGTCCCTGCAGAAACTCTGGATGCCTGCAGGAAGGGAGTGAAGGACAGCTTACAGAACATCCAGAGCTCCAGCACCAAGGGCAGACCAAGGCACGGTGGTTTGAAGGCACCTTTAAAGCTGCTCGTTGATTTGGAGTTAATTCGGCAAGACCAGGAGGTGTTCTCTGATTGCTGGAACCAAAGCTTCAGCATTAAAAGTAATCTAAAGATTCCCCAAACCAAGGTATATGCAGGAAATGCACATCCATACCATGACCATTTATATATTTGGTATTCCTGACAAAACAGAGCATTAATGTCTCACTCCAAACAGGTTTTTGCAACTCAGATTTGTCATTTAGGGCTCTGCTCCACATTCCCTGCTCCAATCCCATTTGTGTGGCATAATTTTGTCACACAAATGCCCATTCCACAGGGAACAAACACAATGGGGGGAAGCAAAAACAATGCATGGCTATTCAGAAGTACAAAGTCCCCAATTTATTCATAGCTTAAAACCATTGTGGAAGGACTGAACCAAAATGGTCCTTGGGTTGGTCATGAAAAGCCAGGCAGGTTTTATCATTCAAAAATAATGACAAAAGGGTTAGACTGCCTGCATTTCCAGCAGTGGTTCCTTGCACAGTGCAGAAATTCCAGGAAAAGCTGCCTCCCTCAGTTACATAAATGTCATAACTCCCTGACTGGAATGACACATTAGGGAAACAGAAAATGAGGCAATAGTCAGGTGCTGTCTGCAGCTGTACATGTGAACAAAGGGAGAGGAAGGAGATGCAGCAAAGCAGCAGACAGAAGCCCAGCAATTACCACTCATTTCATGGAATCAGAGTCATTGAGGCTGTTCAAGACCTTTAAGATCATCAAGTCAGCACTGCCAATGCCACCACTAAACCTTTCACAGTCTTTCCAACACCTCCAGGGATGGTATCCCCACCTCTTCCCTGGGCAGCCTGTGCCAGTGCTTGGCAACACTCTCAGTGAAGAAATTTTCTCCTAAAATCCAATCTAAACCTCCCCTGGCACAACTTGAGACTGCTTCCCCTTGTCTTACCTCTCATCAATTGGGAAAAGAGACAAACCCCACCTTGCTATAATCTCCTTTCAGATTTTCCTCTTATTTACACAACTCCAAGTCTCACTCTGTGAGCAATTTCTAATAAGGAAGTTATTTTTGATTCGTGCTACATATCAAATCCCAAAAGCTCAAAAAACCCTCTCAAAATCAATGATCCTGTTGTGGATTATCTCCAAACTCAGCAGCCATTTTATAGCACCATGGGTGGAAAGTAAGAAAATACAGCAGCTCTAATTTCAAGGCTGCTAGAATTAGCTAACAATAAACCTCTTGAGATCCATGCATTATGGAGAAAAACAGTTTTTCATTCTCAGAGATGGTTCTGGCACAGTGCAATGCCTGAACAGCACTTTCTTCCCCCCTCACCTCCTTCTGCTGCCAAAGCTACAAATCCAGCTCGTTTCACTGATGCTAAAATATTTCTTTTAGAGGTTTTAAACATCTAATCTAGAGATTGACAACTATTGCCCCAGGCTGCATCCACCTCCAATGAACTGAAGCACAGGAGGCTGTTAATACAGAAAAGGAGATCACAACCTGATGACACAGCTGAGTATAAAATGCACCCTGCCAGAGCCAATCCTCAGCACACAGCAGAGCTGCATTTTCAACCAAGTCAGCAGAACTAAACTCAGCTGCACTGGGACTATTTAAAAAAAAAGAAAAAGTCATAATTCTGTGATTCTGTGGGTAAACCTGATAGGACAGGACACAGGTGGACACAGAGAAAAAAACAGTGATTTAGCTCAGATATCAAGAGTCCAAGCCAAGCATCATAGCAGGATTTGAAATAAACGTGGGAGGGCAGGACAGGGGGACAGAAAGCTGCTGATCAGCATTTTCTGCTCAGGCAGGCAGGCCAGTGCAGTAAACACAGCTCTTCTGCTTACCAAAGAGTTTGGCATCTTCCACAAACTTCTGTGTTCTCCTCCGGACATTTTCAGAATCTGCCAAAGCTCTCCGGTATCGCTCCTGTAACCAGAGGGGACACATCCAAGCTGCAGGTGAAACCCTCTCTGACACTGCAAACCCCTCAGAAAGGCTTTAAAGAGAGAAGGTTGTGCTGGGCTGCTGCATTTTCACACAAAGACAAGTCTTTCCACTGATTAACCAAAAACTGCAACTCCTTCGCAAGACTCAAGGCCAAAAATATTCTGGGCACTGAATGGCTGAATTCAGCTGAACAGCCACGGTCAGGCTGCTGCTGAGATCCTGCTCTCTCCAGCAGGCAGCTCCGTGACAGCTGATTTCTCACTCAGGGCAGCATTCTCAGGGTGATTATCTCCAGAACAGCCCAGTGCTGTGGCATTTAATCCTCCCTCAGTCACGTGCAGTTCTTCAATATAGAACCTGATTTTCATCACACACGGGCACTTAAAAGGGCTTTCCTGCTCGGATAATCTGGATCCAGTGTGACATAAAGCTGATAAGGAGTGTCCAAAGGAGGGGCATGAGGGTGGGGAAGGGTCTGGAGGGGCCATGGAGGAGCAGCTGAGGGCACTGGGATTGTGCAGCTGGAGGAGGCTGAGGGGAGACTCCTGGGACAGGGACAGGACCCAGGGAAGGGCTGGGGCTGGGCCAGGCTGGATTTTGGGAAAGGTTTTTCCCCCAGAGGGTGCTGGCACTGCCCAGGCTCCCCAGGGATGGGCACAGCCCCGAGGCTGCCAGAGCTCCAGGAGGGCTTGGACAGCGCTCCAGGGATGCCCAGGGTGGGATTTTGGGTCTGGGCAGGGCCAGGAGCTGGGCTGGATGATCCTGTGGGAACTCAGGATATTCCATGACTTTATGCCAACATGTGACACTAATCAGCATAAGGCTACTGCCACAAGGCTGTGAAAGAAGTGACCAGCTCCAAGACACAGCTTTTCCTGCCAGGATCACACCATCAGTGAGTGCCCTGCTGCTGGCACTGCTGGCAGATGGTGTTTTGGGGAGGGCAGGCTGGAATTTCACCCTCTCACACTCAGGGCACAGCTGCTCTGGAGCTCTGTGTGTGTGTGTGTCACAGCATTTAGGGAAAAAGCCAGGGCTGAAAACCAGAGCAAGCCACTGAAGCAAAGGCATCCAGCACACTCACAGTTAAATCCCGGACTTGCTCTTCCAATTTGATGGCTTTGTGCTCCAAGGCACAGCCAGACAGGGGGTGCTTGGGCTCCTCACTGGGGTCCTCAGGGCCACACTCGTCTCCTGTACTCCTCTGCTGAGCTGCAGTGCTGAAAGCACAGGGGCACCCTCTGAAATATAAACTAGGGACACAGAAACAAAGTTGAGTAACTTCAGGGTCCATGAGAATTCAAGATTAGTGTCAGTATTAAAAGCAGGCTCTCTTAAAAGAGGTACACAGGATTCTAGACACAATTTTAGTTCTTTTCAGAAAACACAGACAATCAGCAAAGAAACACAAAGAGGTGGGTTTAATTTCTTTTATTTTAGACTAACATGGCACACAGAGGCTTTACTCCGCTTCTTTGGCATACCTTCAAAAGAGTCAGATTTTCACAGAAACACAGAATGAGATTGGAAAACACCTTCAAGACCATCAAGTCCAACCTGTACCCAATCCCCACCTTGTGACCTACCCAGAGCCCTGTGTGCCACATCCAGTCATTCCTTGGACACTTCCACCACCTCCATGGTCTTTTCCAACATAAATAATTCTGTGATTCCCTGACTGTGTTTCACTCTCCCTCCTATTACAGTTGCTTTTACAAACCAGCCTAGACAGGGCTCATTCCTGCCAGTGTGAGCCTCAGCTCCACCTCCCTCTCTCACCTCACACCAGGAAGAATCTGCAGAACAAAAGAGAATTTACTTCCAAACCAGCTCCACCCAGGAAACATTTCGGTACACATCTAACAAGGAAGGGTGTATTCTCCTTTTTTGGGAATACCTGGGCTCTTCCTCTGAGCAAAGCTTTCAACACCCCCATCGTGCAATGTTTTATATCCCCTCTGTGCAATGTTTTCCATACATTAAGTGCACATCTACCCCTGTGAAAGGCAGCAGAGCCCAGAAATCCCTGAGCTGGCACCAGCTCCACTCCCTGTGCTTTTACAGAACAATTCCACTCTGCACAGAGAGGCTAATTTAGACCTCAGAATCGATTCAGCTGAGCTCACATTACCAGGCCTGTACCATGAAGCATTCTTCCTCTTTAGCAAGGCTGCATTGCTCAGGTTCAATGTCACACAAGTGCACAGAGTTTGTTCTGGGGTCTATCATGAAGCCTTCAGTGCTCTTCAGCTGTTTTGCCCCCTTTATTCCAATGCTGGAGCTGAGCAGAATTCAATCTCAAGGAGTTAAACCAGCTGAAAAATAACCCTATAAAACAAGAGGACTTTTCTCTCAGTGTCCCTGAATAGGTCTGCTGACAGATCAGATCAGATCAGCACAAGTGCCAGTACCAAAGAGAAGCCAAATATGTGAGGTGTGGGGCAGGGAGAGGTGTCCCTGAAGGTTTAGACTGGCTCAACCCTCAAAGCCCAGCTCAAGAGATCTGTGTCTGCCCAAAGACCACCAGGCATCTCCTCCCACCCGTTTAACAGCTCAGATGTTTCATCATTTAAATCCCTAATAGCAGGGTGCTAAATGTCCCACAGCACTAATGACAAACTTCCTCTCCCCACCTGAGGACATTTGCATGTGCAGTTTTTATTAAGCGGGCACTTAAAACATCATCTGTATGTCAAACCACTCCTTTTCAACAAATTATGTGCCAAATACAAACCTCAAAGTGCTTTCTCTACTTACACTTGCTCTAGAGAAGGATGTTCCTCAGACTAATCTTTAAAGGGTTCCAGGAATGCCATTACAGGAGAAAAACCCCACATTTCATCCCTGGCTGCTGTTTGGGTCACAAGACCCCATCTTGAATGATTAGTAAGATTCCTGTCATGTTCATTTTATTGACTGATTAACAGCACTTTATCAAAGTTAGAGAAAGTACATTAAACTAGAGGGGAGGAGAGAGCAGGACCCCTTCACCAAGCCTTCAAAAATCAATCTGAGGCTTTCTTTGCACATAAAAACGTCCATGGGAAGCAGCAGCTCCAAGCTTTATCCTTTATCATCTCACATTTCATTTCAAAGAGCTGCAGGGATGGAAATCAGCCATGCTACAGCTGTACCAAAGAACCTGAACCGCAGCTGAGACATCTCGCTGGGCCCCTCAGAGGTGAAACTCCTGGGTTTTAAAAATAGGCTGTGCAGCTCAGTTGACTCCTCTGCCCCCAAGATGCTGAAGCTGGGGAGGTTTTTCCCTCTGCCGGTGGTTCCTGGCAGGGATGGGTGTGTTCTGCGTGGGAGAGGGGCATGGAGGAGCCGGTCCCAGCTGCCTACGTGGAGCAGGGAGCTGCCTGCATGGACTCCTCTCTGCAGCCTCTGAAGCCAAATCCCAAATCCCAGAGCGCTCTCCCCGAGCAGGGACATGCCCTGGCAGTCACATGCTGCCTGGAAAAGTTATGGCCAAGAAATCCCAGCCTGACTCCGAAGGGAATTCTTCAGGTCTGTTATGCGGGAGTTGAAAATGCCGCTCGATTGACTCCTTGCTGCAGGATGAAAGGAATTCTCCCCAACAAGTGGCAGGAGCTATTTACAGGCTGTCCACTGAACGGGCTCCATCTTCTGCAGGCTGGTTTGATCACAGCTACCCTAAAAATAGGCATGGATCCCACGGGAGGAAGCTGACACATCCCGAAGTGACAGACACGTGGAAGTCGCGGGGCGTGTGAAGGGAGTTACACAAGTTGGTGTTACAGAAAGATTTACACAGGGATGTCACAGAAAGCCAAAGAGTTAAGGAAGAGCAGAGAAGCTGATTGCAGCCATATGGCTTAAGCCAATTGTCCTTCAAGATTAATATTTCAGTGATGAGAGAGGGTTTCTGAACTACAATGGTATCAGCACCTCTTTCTGGAGCACCCGACCATTCGGAAGTGACAATCAGCTCTCCCTAACGCAAGGGTCCTTCCCCACCCTGCTGGAACACTCCCTCCTCCTCCTCCTCCTCCCAAATCAGCATGACAAAGCTCTCGAGGGCTGAGACACACAGGAACATCTGCACTGGTTTCAGCTCTGATGAGACTGCTTTGGAAGGAAATTTAATTATTGCCAATTCCTCCGCGCTGTTTCATCAGGGAGTGACTGCAGAGATAATGCAGCGCAAGGAGGGGATTGTCCCGCTCTGGGGTGGCCGCACCTCGAGAATTGGGGCAGTTTCGGGTGCCAGGAGGTGAGAAAGACCTAAAGCTCTTAGAGAATGTCCAAAGGAGGGACACGCAGATGGTGACAGACTCATCGCACATTTTTCAGGGAGGCGAAGCAGTTTTCACTCACGTAAGAGGGAGAGTTTCCTGACACGCATCTACATTTAGTCCCAAACACAGCTGCCTTTACTGTGTGCTGCAGATTTATTATATTACATTTAAATAGTCTTTTAGCGGCTTCTCTTCTAGACAAAACCAAAAAATTACCAGGCATTTTGGCTTTTTTTCTTTTCATCTGCCCACACTTCACTAAAGTAGCCAAAGCATCTTTATGGATTTCTCTTTTCTAAGCCGTATTCCGTGATGTAAAAAAAAAAGCATGAGTGGACATTGTTCCTGTCTAAATATTGACACCATTAAATGGATTCTCTACTCGCGACCACCCAAAACAGACCGATAGCACATGGGCTGCCTCACCACCAGAAACAAAACCCGAGGAGCACATTAAACCTGAATAACTAATGAATAAATTAATGAATAAATGGTTCCGCCGGGCGAGACACAGAACCCACCCACAGTGGCAGGAAACCACCTCCCAACGTGACTTATCGAGCGCGGAAACGTTTTGCCTTAAAAATGAACAATAATTTGCAAAAAAAAAAAAAAAAAAAAAAAGACCTTTCTGGGAAAGGAGTTCGGTTATGGGGAGTTATTTCTGCCCCAGGGCGTTCTGAGGAGCGCAGAACAGCAGCGTGGGGTTTCGGGGCTGAGATGGGGAGCGGCGGGGGATGATGGAGCCCGGCGGGGTCTGGCTGTGGGTTCGGGTCTGGGTCCAGATCTGGGCCAGGGTCGTGCTTGGGGTCCGGGTGTGGATCCGCTCCCGTTGCCGCCCCCGGCGCGGCGCCCGCCCGGGCCCGGCCCCGCGGCGCTGCCACGTCTGTCCCCGACGCCCCGCAGCTCCGGGCCGCCCCTGTATCCCCATCCCATCCCGGCCCGGCCGGTCCCAGCCCGCCCCACGTACCTGCCGGTGCCGGCCTTGCCGGCCGCGGGCAGCAGGGCCCCGAGGCGCCGCAGGGAGCGGGCGGCCATGGCCCCGCACGGAGCGGCGGAGCAGGCGGCAGCCGTGCGCCCGCGGCAGCGCCGAACTACAGCTCCCACACGGCCCCGCGAGCGGCGGGCGGGCCGGCGAGGGGCTGCGGCGTGAGGGGAAGGCGGGCATGAGGGGAAGGCGGGCATGAGGGGAAGGCGGGCATGAGGGGAAGGCGGGCATGAGGGAATGGAGGGCGGGAGGAGAGCGCTCCGCCCGCCGCCGCACACGCGGCTCCGGGTATCCGGGACTTGGCTCTGGCACAAGGGGCCGGGCCCCGAGACTCGGCTTCGGGAACCCAGGACTCGGCTCTGGGCACAAAGGGCCGGGCCCCGGCATTTGGCTCCGGGCACGGCTGCTGTGCTCCGAGACTCGGATCTGGCACCGGGCTCCGGGACTGGGACCCGGACAGAGCTCCGGTGTGCTAAGGATCAGACCCGGGCACCGCAACACTGGTTCCCTGGAGCTCGGCCTGGATACAGCTTCCAGCGTCCCAGGGATCAGACCTGGGCACGCAGCACCGGGTCCCTGGAGCTCGGCCCCGGACCCAGCTCCATCCCCCGGGACTCTGATTCGGCCCCGGCCCCAGCTCCTTCCCCGGCAGAGCTCGGACCTGGACACGGGTACACAGCTCCGGGCCCCTGGGCTCGGACATGATGGGCACACGGCTCTGGCCCCTGGCGCTCAGACCTGGTTCCTCCCAGGGCTCAGACCCTGCTCACCCCGAGACACACAGCTCCTGCCGCTGCCTGGGCGGGTTAAAGGTGATAACAGGACAGGTTTCACCTCTAGTTCAGGAAAGGACTGGAAGAGACTGCGAGTGTTCTTTACCCGTGGTGAATAAACATTAACCAAAGCCCAAAGCCTCGGTCAAAGTTGCCAACAACTGCATGAAGGATGAGGGGGAATGGCTTCAAACTGCCAAGCACAGGGTTATATGGATATTGGGAAGGAATTCTTCCCTGTGGCAATGCTGAGGCCATGGCACAGGGTGCCCACAGAAGCTGTGGCTGTCCCACCCCTGGAAGTGTCCAAGGCGAGGGTGGATGGAATCTAGAGGAACCTGGGATAGTGGAAGGTGTCCCTGCCCCTTAAAATAAGAGATGAGCTTTAAGTGCCCTCCAACCCACACCAATCTGGGATTCTCTGATGTGCTTTCAGGGAGCTGCTTGTCCCAGCAGCTGCTGGCACAGGGGTACTGAGCCCAGCCCAGCCCCTTTCCCTGGGAGCAGGAGCAGCATTCCCACCCTGTTCCCTCAGCCACAGGACCGGGCAGGCCACTGCCAGTGTTTTTATTAAAAGCTGCTTACCTAGGTACTAACACAGGGCTGTGGACAAGTGAGCTCCAGAGGTTAATTGTGGCAGTCCATAGCATGAGAGGGTGATGGTGACTCCCTTGTTCCCAGCACAAAAGCTGGGGCCTTTCCATTCCTGTCCTTTGTTCTGCCTGTGCTGAATAACCTTACTCTATTTCACTTTTCTGCTCCAACAGCCCTGCTGATTTTTTTTTTTTTAATTTTTAGACTTCCCTTCACTCCATTTTGATCACATGCCTTACCAACCTGTGTCTGAGTGCAGCAGCCAGAGTGTGAATGTGTTGTTGGCCAGGAGACAGCCCTGTCCCCTTCCCTGCTCCCCCCAAAACCAGCATGGGACCAGGGCAGGAAGCTGGCCTGCCTCCATCCCTAGCCCTCTGCAGCACTTCTAAGCTGTTTAGCAAAGGTAGAAGGTGCCCACTGTTAATTTGCTTTCCAATGCTGACACTTGAGCTTCCTTCGTTCCAAGGGAAGGCGGCATGCCCTCACCCTTACTGCCTGGAGGACAAGAAGGAAATATTGGACAAAGGCACTTGGTTGAGTCCCAGCAAGCTTGAGCCATGAGGAACCCTGAGATGAGACCCTGCAGAGCTGGGAGCAGTGAGCAGGGTGAACAACTGGCATCTCCAAAGTGGCTGGTCCTGAGCAGCTCCTGAATCCCAAAACTGAGGGGGCCAAAAACCCCAAGGAGTCCATGGTTGCTTTGGCAGGTGTTAGCCTGGACACACACTGATCCCCAAAACTGGAGCACCTGCTGGGCAGTGCCACCTGCCAGCCCAGCCTCTCCCCTCCTTCCTCCTGCACCCCGAGTTTGTGTCACACTCCTGGCTCCAGGGCAGGCTCCCCCAGAGCTGGGTTTCACAGCAGTTTGTGACCCTGATCCACAAGGAACTCCCCTTCCCCACCCGCCTCCCCAGTCCCCTCCCGTCCCCTTCCCCTGGTTTGTAGAGGTGGTGGTGCCATGGTGGGGCTGGCAGAGCAGCTCTTCCACCACGCCTTCCCTGCACCCTCCCAGTGTCTCAGAGAAAGGGGGCTGGCAGCTCCTCCGTGATCCCCACTGTGTGTTCAGGGCTTGGCAGGCTGACTTAAGTCTGCTTCTTTTCCCATTCCTGCAGAGAAAGGAAGAAAAACAATAAAAAGGGATGAGGAGACATCACTGGAAAAGCAACACTTCAAGGCATCCCTCCCTGCTGGGGGCTTTGGACTCAGCATCTTCCAAGCATTTTCCTCTCCCACCCAGCCCTGCACTGCCATGATTCCATGGTTAAACAAGGGGCAAAAACTGAGATTTCCCGGGGGGCCAGGGAGGAGAGGGAGAGCCGAGCAGGACCTTGGCTTTCCTCAGCACGCTGCCCGTGTTGGCAGGGATGATGGAGGGGCTTCTCTTCCTCAGCTCTGCCGCACAGTTCACAGGGACCAAGTGCTCAGGGGGGCTCCCGTTTGCCTTGTTTGTAGTTTCCTGTGGAAAAGCGGGAGCAAGAAAAGCTCAGGAAACTCAGGAAGCATTGACAACAGATAAAAAAAAAAGCATGAACTGTAATGAGATAAAAGTTGAGGTGACCAAATCCAACTCACACACCTCTGTCCTCACAGGGACAAAGCTACAGGGATGTCCCCTCTCCCCTCTGCTGCTCCCCACAGTACCCCAACCGCTGTTTCTTGCAGGAGTTGGAGCTCTGAGTGAGGAGAAAGGGATGCATACCCCGTTCTCAGCCTTGCTGGTCACGGCCAGCCCCAGGGCCGGCCCTCCTGCCAGCGACTGCTTCAGCTGCTCCTTCACTTCGGTCAGCTTGAGCTCCAGATCGACCCGAGACTCCTCCTTCTGCCGGCAGCGCTCCTCCAGCTCCGCCACCCGCTGCTCCAGCTCCTGCAGCCTCTGCCCTGCTTGCACAACCGCCCAGCTCAGCGCTGGAGAATCCACCCATCCTCCGCACGGGGACACTAGATGGGGCTGGCAGAGCGCTGCAGCCAGCCCAGCTCCCGGCCCCCGTGTCCCTGTGGCCAGCCCGGTGTCCCTGTGCTCGGTCCCCGAGCGCCTGGCAGCTCCCGTGGCCCCGACCTACCCGTGCTGCCCTTCAAGGCTTCCCGCAGCTCCCGCTTCTCCTTCCGCAGCAGCATCAGCTCGCTGCGGATCGATGCCTTCTCCTTCTCCAGCTTCTCCTTCTCCGTCAGGAACCGCCTGGCGTCCTCCTCGGCCCGGTTCTTGCCGTACCTGTACTGGTTGGCACCTGCAGGCACGGGGAGAGCCCATGAAGAGCTGCAGCGATGGCACCACGCTCCAGCCGAGCCCACCCACATCCCTGTGGGGAACTGGCCAGGAGCCCTGGGGAGGTTTGCGGCCCGGGGACTCACTGGACGCGTGTCTCTTCACTTTGACTTGCGGGTCCACCCGCCGCGACTTCTCACTGCAGGACGAGGCGTGGCGCTTCACCTGAGCAGCCCCCGGCCGCCCCGGCTCCTCCTCCGCCTGCTGGGAGGAGAGAGAGCTGAGGCACCTGCAGGGCATCTCCCTGCTGGGACACCTGCAGGGCCATCCCCCTGCTGGGACACCTGCAGGGCCATCCCCCGGCTGGGACACCTGCAGGGCCATCTCATCACCCTGGGCCACTGTGGTGGGAGAGGATGAGCCATGAAGTTGTGCTCACCTGAACCTTCTCATAGGGGACATCGTCGTACACCACCCGAGAGGAGTCTGCTCGCTGATCCTGGGAGGAGCTGGCCCACCTGCAGAAGGAGGGGTGGGGTCTTCCTTTCCAGAACATCATTGCCAGCCCCTCAGGGAACCTTTCCAGCTCAGAGAGATTCCTGCATCTCACGACCCCACCCTAACACACCCTGCATCAGCACTGATGAAACCCTTTCAGCTTCCCATGCTGCCCTAGGGAACAACCCCTGGGGCACTGACTGTCCCTGAGATCCCAGCCACAAACCACAGCCCAGCCTGTGCCCGTTCTGAGACTCCACAGGGCCAAGGATCACCATGCCCAGCCCAGCACCCAGCCCCTGGCACTGCAGGAGGCACACAGCCTTACAGGTAGGAGTGTCTCACGGCTGTCACAATGTTGGCAATGGTCTCCACATCCACGTAGTCGTAGTGCAAGGCCTCTGGGGCTGTCTGGGAGCCTGTTTCCACCAAGAGGAGACCCAGCCAGCGGCCCAGGTCTTCAGAGCAGCTTGCCTGGAGGACAGAGGAAGTGGTCCACACTGAGGTGCACACCCAGCTGGGGTGCACACCCAGCTCCCGGCCCCTCATCCTTGCTGATGGCACAATCCCCCTCTGTGCACCAAGTCCCCATGCAGCTCCCCCAGCTCACCCAACAGGCATCCCGAGCTTTCCAGGTGAGGACAAAACAAGGCACTGCTTGCACGGGGCGCCGATCACCCCAAGGCCGCTCCCCCAGCCTGGCAATGCTGTCCTCAGCGCCCCCTGCTCACCTCGAGCGCCGTCACCTCGTGGCCGTGGCGCAGGATGCGGAAGGCGAAGGGGTGCTTGGGGCCCAGGCCGGGCAGCACCTCGCAGCCGCGCAGCACGATGGCGTTCACGTGGGTGCGCAGGTCCGAGCGGTCCTTGTGGAAGTACAGCGTGTTCCCCTTGAGGCGACACCAGCGCTCCTTCCAGCACTGGTTCACCAGCACGCTCAGGTAGCCTGGGGAGGGAAGGGCATCAGCGCCCGCCCGGCTGTGCCCCAGGCAGGCTTTGACAGGACAG